ATGAACTCCACTACAACATCCCAGCTAAAACTTCTGACTGCTTTATATCCAACATGTGTCCGCGAAGCGACGGCTGTCCAAAATGTGGTGCCATCCAGGAAAGGACGCCATGATGTCTCTGATGACCAGTCTGACTTTGGTGCCTTGGTGTACATTGTGGTTGTGCTGGTGTTTTATTCTGCAGGTCTGGTAGTCTGCTTGTATGAAGTCTTGGTCTATACATGCTTCTGTGTATTATCATTCTTATCATCATCATCATCAAGTAGCAGGTCTTTTGCAGAACTTTGCTCTCATCACGGTCTGCCTGAAAGAAACACTTTCTCTCGCCAGCTCTCCCGCCTCGTGTATTTTCATATTCAGGAAGTCACTTATATAATGTTCCCATCTTAGTTTTGGTTGGCCCCTGCTCCTCCTTCCTGGTGCCATGCCTTCTGCTAATTTTTTTTTATATATCTGTTTAGTTATCGTTTGCCTTGTAAAAGTGTGTGAAGCAGTGCTTTCTAATTGTTTCCAGGTCACGCCCCCTCCCCACTGAACATAGGACAACCCCCCTCCCCTCCCCTCCCCAACCGTCTACCCACTCCCCCTCCTGTTTGCACGCTCCCCTAACTTAAAAAAAAAAAAAAAAGAATGATTAAAAAGAGTAGAAAAAAAAACACGTACTGTTAAAAATACGAACATAGAGAAAAAGATCCACACAAATCAAAAGCGTCAAAATGACATAAACGAAACAATCACCAAACGAATGGTGTCCAGATAGATAGCAATGTGGTGGTTGACACTGTTTTGTCTTTCTTGTGTTTGCTGTACAAACTGCTCACTACAGCAAAAACATCATTAACTTTTTCTTTTATAGTTTCCCTTTTTTTTTTCTTTTTCTTCTTTTTCTATTTCTTCTTAGAGTTTAATCTGGCAGAAAGTTCTAGTATTCGTCAGCCTGGACGGCAGTCCTCTTACATAACCTTTGTGTTGCGTGCGCATCCGTTTTACAGATCTGACTGATTTGTGTTTAAACTGTTGGTTCCTTGCCTCTCAGGCAGATGCACTTCGACTTTGAGGGAAGCTGCAAATTAGTCGGCTCTTACGACATGCTTTTGGGAAGGCAGTGGGTCTATTCTTCTTTTCCATATTAAAGCGTCCCACTGGAAGAAGAAGCAACCCTGGACAACTTCTTCAAGTACATGCCTGACAGGAGACGAGCACAAGAAGACATCGTCAACCGGGTGGCCATCCATGCATTTCATACTCTAACCTCCATCTCGTACGAGGAGAAGGAAGCTGAGGAACTCGAGTTAATTTCGGTAGCCTCTTCGCCTGACAGACAGACAGACGAACAGACAGACAGACAGACAGACAGACAGACAGACAGACAGACAGACAGACAGACAGACGAACAGACAGAAAGAAAGAGAGAAAGAGAGAAAGAGAGAAAGAAAGAAAGAAAAAGAAAGAAAGAAAGAAAGAAAGAAAGAAAGAAAGAAAGAAAGAAAAGAAGAAAGAAAAAAAAAGAAAGAAAGAAAGAAAGAAAGAAAAAAGAAAGAAAGAAAGAAAGAAAGAAAGAAGACAAGAAAGACCGACCGACCGACCGACCGACCCGACCGACCGACCGACCGACCGACCGACCGACCGACCGACCGACCGACCGACCGACCGACCGACCGACCGACCGACCGACCGACCGACCGACCGACCGAACCGACCGACCGACCGAACCGACCGACCGACCGACCGACCGACGACCGACCGACCGAACGACCGACCGACCGACCGACCGACCGACCGACCGACCGACGACCGACCGACCGACCGACCGACCGACCGACTCACGACCGACCGACCGACCGACCGACCCGCCTCCGACCGACCGACCGACCGACCGACCGACCCGACCGACCGACCGACCGACCGACCGACCGACCGACCGACCGACCGACCGACGACCGACGACCGACCGACCGACCGACCGACCGACCGACCGACCGACCGACCGACCGACCGACCGACCGACCGGACCGACCGACCGACCGACCGAACCCGACCGACCGACCGACCGACCGACCGACCGACCGACCGACCGACCGACCGACCGACCGGACCGACCGACCGACCGACCGACCGACCGACCGACCGACCGACCGACGAACCGACCGACCGACGACCCGACCGACCGACCGACCGACCGACCGACCGACCGACCGACCGACCGACCGACCGACCGACCGACCGACCCGACCGACCGACGACCGACCCGCCCGACCGACCGACCGACCGACCGACCGACCGACCGACCGACCGACCGACCGACCGACCGACCGACCGACCGACCGACCGACCGACCGACCGACCGACCGACCGACCGACCGACCGACCGAACCGGACGAAAGAAAGAAAAAAGAAAGAAAGAAAAAGAAAGAAAGAAAGAAAGGAAAAGAAAGAAAGAAAGAAAGAAAGAAAGAAAGAAAGAAAGAAAGAAAGAAAGAAAGAAAGAAAGAAAGAAAGAAAAGAAAGAAAGAAAGAAAGAAAGAAAAGAAAGAAAGAAAGAAAGAAAGAAAGAAAGAAAGAAAAGAAAGAAAGAAAGAAAGAAAAGAAAGAAAGAAAGAAAGAAAGAAAGAAAGAAAGAAAAGAGAAAGAAAGAAAGAAAGAAAGAAAGAAAGAAAGAAAGAAAGAAAGAAAGAAAGAAAGAAAGAAAGAAAGAAAGAAAGAAAGAAAGAAAGAAAGAGAGAAAGAAAGAAAGAAAGAAAGAAAGAAACAACACTGATTATGAACCTGCTGCGGTCTCCATAACCTGACACAATATCTCTCCAGGTGTCATGGTCATGATCGTCCGCTACCTCAAGACTGAGAAGAAAGAACTGGAAGAAGAAGCAACCCTGGAGAACTTCTTCAAGTACATGCCTGACAGGAGACGAGCACAAGAAGACATCGTCAACCGGGTGGCCATCCATGCATTTCATACTCTAACCTCCATCTCGTACGAGGAGGACGAAGCTGATGAACTCGAGTTAATTTCGGTAGCCTCTTCGCCTGATCCCCTGCTTATCACGGGATGATGGAGGAAAGGAAGATTCCATGTACATAAACAACACACGGGGAACACTTGAGGCCGTAGAAACATTATATGTATGCAAAAACAGACAGACATGTACTGATTGGCACTCATAAACAGAATGTAGAGAGATAGAAAAAGACACCAGACAATATAAAATTGGAAATCTACAGTTGCCATACTACTTACTGGTGTGTCTTTTTATCTTTCTACCTTCTGTTTATGAGTGCCGATCATGTCTATTTGTTTAATATGTATATTGGGCCATATACATAATCAGGCTACACAATGTGTGTGTTGGTTCTGTTTTTTACAAAGATAGAACAGACATTTCAAATGATAAGTACAGTTTTTGGTCCCAGGTGGAACATGAGTGTGTGTTAGCGATACAGTTATATTCTCTCTAGCATCGTCTGGTCTTCCGAGTAGGTTTAGCTAAGGGTTAAGGGCACAGTACTTCCTGAAAAGTGCAGAGGATATTTATTTTTGTACAGGATGTAGAATGTCATAGAAATGTCAGTTGCTGTATCTTTAGAGATTATTGAAAAATGACATGCTAAGGATAAAAATGTCATGTTTAGAAGACATAGCTCTGATCAGCCATGCCAGCAAAATTGTTCTGCGAATTATCTTGAGAAGAGCTGCAAAGAAACTAAAATATGAATTACAAGAAGCACAAGCGGCTTTTAGATGTAGTAGAGTTAGTTAGTCGACAGATTATCCTCATTGAACATCGAACCATTCAGTCTATAAGTGCTCGGATGCCCTCTTTAGTAAATCCCGCAGCGTGTAGCGGCTGACAACACCAGTTCTAAGTTGGTTTATTATTTTTCTTTGGCTATTCCCGTAGTGTTCTTGTTTGCTGATACCCTGTTTAACTTGCTGTTCTTGCAGTCTGACCATGTTTGCAGATTCATAGTTCTCAGTTGGTTCACGCAAACATCTTAAACCTCGTAGAGCATTCAGTATATCAGCCTGGTCTAGGGCTTATCCGGCTTTCACTGAAGCCTTACCGGCAAGTCTATCAGCTTGCTCATTTCCTTGTACCCCCACATGTCCTGGCACGAAAATGAAACTAATCCTTGTCAGCCGTGAATGCTGTAGAGCCACCAACCACTGCCTTCGAACCCAGCCCTTCTCTATCTTCCTGAGCATACTCATCTAGTCACTGAGAAAGCATAACCTAGTAAAAGTATGTGTCTCAACCATTTTACTGCTTTAGTCACAGCCATGACCCCCATAGTCAGACTACTCGCAAAAGCTCCAGAATCTCCCCTCACAACTCTCCTTCCAGCCTGAGCCATCAAAGCCCATGAGCTTCTAACATGGCGGATGACAGACCTATCTGTGTAAAAGCATCACCCTCTAGAGCATTCTGGAAAATCAAGGCTTGAACTCTGCTTCCACAGCAGCCGGAATCTGTTGTCTGCATTTTCTATTTAGTTGGATGCAAACAGAAAAGGGGGTACAGCACTCTGAAGACACTTGCACCCACTCCTCGCCGGGTTCTATGTCCTCAAGTGAACATACCTGTAAAATAATGTCCTTGGCTTGACCCCTCCACGATTTCCCTCTTTTTAACCTATTGCCTTTTATCTTCTTAATTTCACTATGCAATGGATTTTTGTGTGTCCGCGTTGACTGTGAGGTAGGCATGTGCTCGTGAAATGTGTATTCTGTCTTCCATGGTTGGAAAATCAAGAATGTATCGCATCGCCGTGCATGCTGTATCTCTTGTACACCCAAGTGTAATGCGCAAAGCCTCGTTCTGTATCCTTTCCATCTGCTTATGGCTAAGAGTCAAGATATGACGTGGTAGAGGAACAAGGGACCATTTTTTTAAAACGTAAGATTCAGTTTGAGAAATGTAGAGAATATAAGATAGATCTCCACACACGCTTCATGTTGATTACTGAGATCCATGGGATTGCCGAAACAGATGGTACGTCTAATGAAATCCCTTTACCATGAACAACAAGCAGCAGTCAGAGTAGCTGGTGAAACTCTAGTGTCGTTTGAGGTACTGAGAATAGTCAGACAGCGCTGCATTTTCTGAAAATATTATGAGAAATGCAATTAGTGAAGAGGTATGTGACAGTTCCGATGCACTCAAATGAATATAGACCTATCCCAGAACTCAGATAGGCGGATGACACAGTTCTCCTTTCCAACAGTGTACAAGGCTTAAACAAATTAATTAATTAAACTCAAAAACGACAGCGAAAAAGATAATCTATTTCTGAATCTGAACAAACTAAAATAATATCCACAATTATTACAGTACACTAACCACGTATTAGAATCGACAACGAGGAGAGAGAAAATGTCACATGTTTTGTATATTGGGATCAGTAATGAAAAACAACAGCGACTGAACATAAGAAATCAGAAAGACTTGCTTTAGCAAATGATTGGCACATTTCCGTCTTTCCAGACGATAGTGTTATATTGCGCTATGAGGAGGCATGAGACTCACAGCCCATGGCGAATGTGACTAGCAAGACCCGCCCGTGTCAAGTAAAGTCTTCCACAATGAAAGCATGGGAGTTCAGGACCATTGTTGTCAACATTTGTGTTTAATCCTTTTCTTTTCAGACGCTCAGCTCTCATCCTTTCTGCAGTCATTTCTTCCTTCACTCTCATTCCCTTCCTGATATGCCCTTTCCACACAACACGGTCCATACACTGCAGAGATGCTTAATAGCGTAAATAACATATGACCTACACTTGCAAGCAAGTTTTTTTTTAATTTTGAGATCATGCATTTTCCCCCGTGGTTGCTTATATATGTGATTCATGGATTCTCACCCAGACTTTGAAAAAAAAAATATTAAGCTTTTGATTTCAAATGCTACAGAAAATTCTTAAAATACCTAGACAAAAAAAAAAAAAAGAAGAAGAAAATCGTCGACATCCGGTGTGACGTAAACATTAATGTGGACTGGCTCGTAAACAGCGTCCTCTCTTGAAAGCTGAATATTAAGGACGTGTCAAGCGACATAGTCGTCAAGAGAGAACGGCTTTGAAGAATGCAGGGTTTGGAAAACAAGGCAGAGGCCGACCACTGCCACTGTGGATACAGGACATTGAAAATACAATTGCTATGAAAGCACACGCCTGGAGAAGTGGCTGGAGAGATGAGATAGAGAGAGAGAGAGAGCGAGAGAGAGACAGAGAGAGACTTTCAGGTACGCTGTGAAGAGAACGAAGTTATGAAAAAGACATGCTGACTGATTGATTGATTGATTGATTGATTTAGTGAAGCAGCAAACATTATGGAGATTCAAAAACATTTCATGCAAAACTAACATTCGATTGCTGAGAGCACTAGCTATTAGTACATTCAAATATGGCTGTGAAACCTGGAGCTCAACAGCTGAAATCGCAAGGAAGATACAAGGATTTGAAATGTGATGATTCAGAAAAATTATTGGCATATCATACAGAGACCACATTACAAACGAAGAGGTTCGCCATATAATTGTACAGCAAACTGGCAACAATGAACCTCTTTTAACCACAGTGAGAAGGCGAAAAATGCAAAGGTATGGACATGTAATAAGATTCTGCAGGGCTCAGTAGAAGGAAAGAAAAGAGAATACAGATCAAGAAAGACCTTGTTACAGAACCTGACTGACTGGACAGGCCTACGGCCGACTCTATTCATATAAATACAGAAGGACGTGGACAGGCCTCAGGCATGCCGCTATTAAGTTCATCAAAACTGACCGCCAAAGGTGGAGAGAGCTGATCAGTCAACAGAAACTGGTGACCCAACCACATGTAGTGTTACAGGATGATGATGATTATGGTAATAGTTTAGAAGAAGGATGGATCATAATAAGATTATTGGGTAGCGGGATGGCATTATCAGATAATGGTGCTGTGTGTTGGGGGAACGCGGTAATGGGGTAGCTAGGGCATAATAAGATCATAAGGTAATGGTGTAAAAGTAATGTGGCATTATGATATTAATAAGGTAGCGTGGCCGCATAACATAGTCACGCGGTAGCGAGCTGGTAAAGTAAAAGCCTAATGTAGCGGTGTCGCAGTAAGGGGTAATGGGGGTAGCATGGTAGAACAATAAGATAATTAGGCAGCGATATTGCATTTGAGATTATAAGGTAGCATGGTGATTCAGTTAGATAAAGAGCTGTGTAGTGACATAATCAGACCATGACCACTAAAGGGGAAACAGAGACGCACTTTTAGTCAGGTATTAACATGTCACCTCTTCGTTGGTTGGTGAAGAAGGAGACAGAGCATGTGTGGAAATTTCCCGAGTGCAGTGATGTCAATTCTTGATTCATTTATTTATTCATTCAATAAGATCGTGAGATGGCATAATGAGATAACGAGGTAGTGTGATGGTACAATGACATAATGAGGTAGCGTCAGGTAGTATAATATCATAAGGTATTATGACACAGTGAGGTCGCGTGGTGGTTTTAATAAGATCATCAAGGTAACATGGAGGTACAAAAAGATCATGACGTAGTAATGTGGCATGATGGGATAGTGAGGTCACGTGGTGGTTTTAATAAGACCATCGAGGTAGCATGGTGGCACAATAAGATCATGACGTAGCATTGTGACCTGAGATAGTGAGGTCGCGTGGTGGTTTTAATGAGATCTTTGAGGTAGCATGGTGGCACAATAAGATCATGACGTAGCAATGTGGCATGATAAGATACTTAGGTAGAGTGATTGCATAATCAGGTTGCGTCACGATAAAAGAAATCATGAGGTAATTTGGCGAAATACCTTGATCATAAATGGTATTGACATAGCGAGTAGTGTACCCAGTTTACTTCGCAGTAGTAGTAGATTTTTACCCCACCAGGACACAACACAAGCGATAAACACCCGATGACACAAAGTGCCAACATGTGGATGAGGATCACAATGGAGAGGTCCCAGAAACTGCGTTCAGCCACTAGACCATATTTATGGTCGGGCTATATTGCTGCGCCTGGCAAGAGCCAGGGTGGGGCTTCAAAATAG